TGGGACCAGGGGCTGCGCCAGGCTCTTCCCAGTGGGGGCTGGGCCAGGCTGCATTTGGGGCAGGTGGCAGCGGCACTGGGAGGGGGCCAATGGAGAGGGGCTGCAGCTGCCCCAAAATTCATCATAGCCCCCCTCCACTTCCCCTTCCAGTGACACCATCGCCTGTCCCAAGTGCAGCCTGGCCCAGCCCCCTTCTGGGAAGAGCAGCAGCAGCCTGCCATTGCCCTGCACACAGATCTGGGGGCGCACGTCCCCCCATGCCCTCCTGGGTTGTATGTAGTGGTGGGAGTTGACCCCCCACATCCTCTGAATAAGTCACTTGTGGTTCCATCCCAAGCTCCGCCCTGGCCATGCTGTGCCTGCCCCAGCCTCAGCCTCAGTCCCAGCCCCTCTCCCTCCCTCACAGCTGGGGCGTCGATCTGCACCCCCACGCCCCTTCCCTCACAACAGACTTACAAGCCAGACCTAGCTGCTCTCCATGCTGCTGGACTGTGTTCCTGGCCACCTGCATGCTGTGCTGTGGCTGCTGCTTGCACGTGGCATTTATCAGCAACATTATCGGCCACATCAGCGACATTATCAGTTAAAAAAAGCCAATTGTTTCTATTGTCAATTTTCCTTATATCAGTGCCAATCTGATATGGGACCAATGTATCGGTGCACCTCTAGTTACATTTCCCTACTGCATGAGTAATAGGAGGTGATACAACCAGTAACTGTATGTGTGTGCTGAAAGGACACATATATGGTTTGAAAAGGGCCATTGAGGTGCACAAAGGGTATTAGGATTCTTCCGGTAGAGACACAAAACCAAGTGCAGGAAATATAGGATTAGTGAGTCCTATAACTACAAGTGAGTGAACTAAATGATCCTAACAGTTTCTTCCATTCTATCATTATATAATTACAATATACATTCTTCTCAGTTCCCTTTTGTACAACAATTTACCTCACCAAAATCCTCTTTGTATATAGTCCAGCTCCTGCTTAGAAACCTGCTTAAATAGTTTAAGAAATCAAAACCCCTTTCTAGTTCAACACATGCTGGAATGCCCATGTATAATACCCTCCACAAGCAACATTAGACTATGAAACAAACAATAACAAATAAATATGTAACTTTTAAAAAATCATTTGACCTCTGTAGGGTTTTATAGTCAATTTAGAGAACTGGGGAATATCAGTACTATTTTGTATTGAATATGATCACGTCTCTGTGTTTTTATGATAGTTTATTTGCTATGGAATTATTATTTGCTAGGTCAAAAAATGTTATTAAAGAAATCAGGAAGGAAAGGCAAAGGATACATAATAGCAAGCTTTATAACCAAAGACAGTCTCCTTAGTTTAAGCAGTGGTGGCAGATTATTGAAATTGAAAGTCTGGAGATCAAAAGACACGATTTGTCCTATAGAGAAGGAGAGAGGAAACTGCAGTGTGGTAACACAGAGAAAACAGAGATGTGCAGCCAGCAAAGTGTAATACAGTTTTGAAGTGAATGGGTGACATTAAATCCTATTCATGTCTGTCTAGATGTTTAAGGAGAATGCCTATTGTAGGTGATAGTCCATGCATCCTGGTCTCTTGGTTGTTTTAAATCTACTTTTTCAAACACTATTTAATTTTTAGCAAAATAAGCCCTATTTTGTTTTGCAGCAGCTGTATCTGTGTCACTGCATGCTGTTACAGTCTACAGGCTTTGGGAAAAGAACTCTGGCAGGTGCCAAACTCACTCGTCTCCTTGGCTATAGAGTTAGTAACCATCAGCTCGTAACCTGGAGACCCAAGTAGAGAATTACTGGATCTTGTTATTCTCTACTTCCCATGTTCCAAAAAAAGAAGAGTGGAGGAACCTCAGGTGAGGTCCACCTGAGGAACTGGAAAAGGGGTCTCAAAAAACAGCCAAGTGTAGGGATTATGCAAGTTAACCACTACTTTAGACCAATAGGTTCATTTCAGGTAGCAAGGCAGGCAATATACACATTAATGTAAATTAATTGAGAATCCTCAGTTTGAACTATTCCTAAAGCAGGCTTCAAATTTTTAGTGCTGTATGTGTTTCATTAACATTCACAAATTGAAAGTGCTTTGGGTCTAATACTATTTGGTCATTATTCAGGTGCTGTGTGGGGACATTTAGGTGCTATGTGTCTAACATGAGGACTTGTTCTCTAAAAGGATGAAGTCACCCAGTCAGGATTACTGTATTGCATGAAAGTTTCCTAGGCAAATAACATCCTAAAGTAGGCAGGATTCATAAGAAAAAAATAAAAATATGTGCCAGCATGTTCCTCCCTGCTCTCCTGTAGCCTTAAAAAGACTTCAGAGGATTTGAGCTCAATTCTTATGAGCATCAGGTCATAGGAAGTGGGGCATATGCCATGTTCCTTAGCATCACATCCCTCTAATTTTGCAAGATTTTTCACAAGAAAGGTTATAGCACTGACACTTAGTCCAGCTCTGCTCTTTTAACACTCTCCTCGATTAGCTATAGGTCAAGTGAGGGTAGGGGAGGCAGCAGGGTGGACCTTCCTTCCTTGCTATCATCTGGCATTAAGACCTGAGATGTAGCCCTGAGACACTTGGTGTCTGTTCAAATGTTCTGAAATTGTACAAATAGTCTGAAATTCCCAACAGTATTATGCAAACCTCAACCTATGCCTGGGTTTACTGGGCCATGACATATTTTCCAGTACTGCTGACATGATGACCAGAAAGTCCAAAATCATAGTTTTCATGCATGCTTTCCCCTGATTAACTCTACACAAAATTATCCACTTTAGAGAGTATATACAAAACTCTCCCATGTTACTTAATTCCTGGTTATAAGACCTGCATTAGGGATTTAAAATTTGCATATGGTTCTATATTGGACCTCTGCATTAAGCTTGGATTTAATTTTTGAGAAAAGGCAAAAAAGGTTCTTGCAAAGCATTTTCCAAATCAAATATTCACTCAAATATATCTATACCTTTTAAAAATTCAGGTACTTTGCAGTCTGAAGGCTCCCATGAAGACTATATAAAACTGACCTTCAATAGGGCAGCTGCAAGACACCGTGAAAAGAAATGTTGACTTAGGCTAATCACCGATAGTCAAAAAGCCTGAAGCTGAATCGATTCAATCTTTGCAGGTTTCTTTAAACTTCATGGATTGAACTGATAAGCAAGTGAGCTGATGTTCCCTTTTCAAACAGGAAAGGCATCCAGACCCCTGCAGTGGTCCATACCAGTACATGGGGAGGGGGGAGGGGTGCTAGACCATGTCTCCCAGCCTGCTGGTCACTACAGAGAGCTGGGAGCCTGGAAATTCCCCCAACCACACCCCTACTTCAGCCTCTGGGCCAGCTGAGGAAGGTGGGGGGGGGAACCCCATCCCTCTGGCCCGACACTGGACCCCCAGCTGGGAGCAGCCTGGTGCAGGGGGAGGTGGGGGAGCAGGGCTGGAGTTCCAGAGCCGGTCCCCCTCCTTTGTCTCTGGGCCAGCTGAGGACGGGGCGAGGGAAACCTGAACTGGGCCTTGGCTTTGCCCCTGGAGACTGGGGTTGCGGGGTGTGGCTGAGGGACTCCAGCCCAGCTCCTAGGGGTGAAGCCAAGACCCTCCCCACTGTTCCCCCTGCACTGATGTATATGTTCAAACTGGAATTTTGATAGTAAACAGAACTAGGTTCAGCTCCTCACATGTTTTAATCTATATTCTGATATTTTCTTTTCCCCAAATAATCACATATAAGCCACCAAACCAGCTCACTACTTGCAGATGGTTGTCTCTTAAAATCTATATTTATAAGGGACTAGACACATTAACTATTTAAGTTAGTGTAATTCACATCTGCTTGCCATACCAATGTATATTATGTTGGTTGAAGGCAGTCCACAGTAAGATGACCGGGTGTTCCAGGATACCTGCTAGCAGTACGTGACAGGTGATTATAGTCTGTAGTAACTGGATATAACAGGATGGCTCTAGATACATGACCTTTACATTCTGATTTTTCTTAGGATAATACTACACTGATTTAGTAATATATATGGATGTAGACTAGTATGTTGTTTGTCTGCTTCTTGTTTACTCTAAAGGCTGCTTTGAATATATCATGATTCAAAACCCATAGTATACAGTTATGTCTATAGCATATAGATATTATAGATCTTCCACTCTTTTAATGCACTGATTTATACCATAAATATGATAATCTAACTGATGTATGAATTCTAGAAAACAATTGCTGAAAACAGGCTAAAGAATATTTCTTAACTACTATAAATTGAAGAATAATTTAAACAAATAAAATTAAGCTTTTGTATAAATAAAACAGAATTGTGGATTCTATTTGTGGATCGATATTATGAATTTTATTTAACACATCTAGTCTATGACAAAGTATCTGTATAGATACAACCACTCCAACTACCACATCTATTCTATGACAAAATATACATCAAAGTCACTCTGAGACTGGCTTATTACCCTATAAACATTCTCAATGGTTTAATGGTTTTTAAGCCAGTGTTTGAAAGAAAAATAGTCTCAAGTGAATTATTATAACTGAAAACTAGAGTATACTTTAGACCACCATAAATTGATAACGTATCTTTAACTTTTATTTCTGAGGAAAGGAACAGAACACTTATTCTTAAAAAAAATTCTCCAAAACCCAAACCCAGAAACCCCCCTGCCATTTAAAAGATAGGCAGTTTTCCTGTTATATGAAGATAAATTGAAAAGAATAAACCATAGCATATACTTTTTTAAATTAAGTTTTCTTATATAATGTATTCATTTACTTTTTTCCCCATTTCATAGGTATTTATGGTACATCAAACATTTAGAGCCAGAAGCCTTCCTTCTCTTGATCACTCAGTATCAAGGACTCATCTGACATCCTCTTCAGTGCATTGACTAATATTTTGGGTTTAAGAGAAGGGAACTGTACCTTGAGCTTGTGAGCTTACCTGAACTAAAACTGATCTTCTTCAGCTACCTTTTTTTCATTGCAAATGCCTAAGAACAGCAAGGTAGTAAAACGAGAACTAGATGATGAGGTCATTGAGTCAGTTAAGGACCTTCTCTCTAATGAAGATTCTTCAGATGATGCCTTTAAGAAGAGTGAACTGATGGTTGATGATCAGGAAGATAAAGATGCAGATGTTGAAGAGGGGTCCGATGTAGAGGATGAGAGACCAGCTTGGAACAGCAAACTTCAGTATATTCTGGCACAAGTTGGATTCTCCGTGGGATTGGGGAATGTCTGGCGATTCCCATATCTGTGTCAGAAAAATGGCGGAGGTAAGGTTTGGCGGTCACTAACTTGCCCTGTTGATTTCATTCTAAAACACAGATACATTTATACAGCTTCTTATATTTCTCTTTTAAATTTTGCCCATTTATAATGAAATAGTAAATTATTTTAGAGAGAGAAATCTGCTGAAGGTGATAGTAAATGATTCTGATGAGCTTCTTTGGCCTAGTGTGCTATAATAGAAAATTTTCTATTAAGACAGCTATCTGTTTTATATGAAAATAAATATTTGCTAATCTTAATCCTGTGGATGGGTCATGGCATGTACCACATGAACAACATGATTCTAAGGGCCATTTATTCTAAGTGTTCTTCACATTGTTTAGATACTAAAAAGAAACATTAAACTGAGAAAATGCTTAACAATATCAAAGTAGTAAAACAAAAACAAAAAAGAAAACTAAATGATGAGGCCATTGAGTCAGTTAAGACCTGAGGATAAATAAAATTAATACATTAAGGACCAGAACAATTTAATTGGGACTTTTGCATAACTAAGCATCAAACCCTTACCTTTTAATTATATCACTGCTTACTAGATAGTTTTTTTATGATTAGCTCTTTGTCAAACAGACAAGTATCATAGGTCTGTAATGGAGTTTTTATATGTAGTGAATGACTTCAGTCATAAAGTATATAATGTGCGGGATTGCCAACCATCCACAAATTTATGGACAGTTATAAAAAAAGAGGCTTAAAATGTGTGTCTGTAAAGTCTGTAAAAACTTAAGCTGTCCATAAAAACTAAGCATCTGAACAAGGATGGATGCTGAAGAACAGACATTGAGGTGAATATTACTTTTCTGTTGGCTATATTGCAATGCATTAGGCAAGCAAACTTTCTTCCTTTAAAAAAGTCAGCAATAACATATTAATCCATACCCTGGTATGGGTCATTGTTTAGTTGTATTGAAAATGAATGTTTCTCTTATTACACATGTATTTTTTAAAAATTAAAACAAAACTTTTACTTATGGTGAATGTTCATGGCCAGATACTTCAAATTGTTCTAACAGGATCTGGCTTGAAATCGATATAATTGCAATAAAAAGACACAACAGGATATATCCTTATATCCTTGTATAGGTGTCTCACTCTCATTCACTTCAAAATTGAGTATATTGATCCATGTAAAAATGTAACCCATATGTTTTAGATTTAATTACTGAAAGCCTTTGCAACTGTTATTTAACTTGCATTTATGTCTTTACTCAGGAGATAAAAACTTTAGTTTGTTTCATATCTATGGCTGCTTACAGATGTGAAAAAAATGGCGCTTTACTTTCTGCTCGGTGTGGCCCTGTGCCAAGCACAGCTCATGTCCAAAAGAAGCATCATGTTAATTTGACTCAGCTCACCCAGTGTCTGTATAGATGAGGCGCTTCAGCGGGGCTTTTGGGCATTTTTATTTAGTTGAGGGTTGAATCAGCTTTAGATAAAAGCACCAAGAAGTTCCCTGAAGCACCCAATGTATACAGGTGCTGATGAGCCGGGTCGAATTAACGCACTTCCTCTTCTGGTAACCACTTTAAATTTATTTTTTGCACATCTGTCAGTGGCCTATGGGTTGTATTTCTTTGCCTTTGTTCTAACTGGGAAGTTCCAACTGAGAAACCTGAATTTGGGTGTAGTGTTTTTGTAAGCCGTACATTTTCACTGCATAGAAAATAATTCTTTCTGTTTGAATGATGCTTGGTAGGAAGTATATGGGTAGAGCAGGGTTGATCACGTATTATTTCTAGCTCACATGAATGAAGTTAATTATTACTTAGTGAAAAGTGTAACTGTTCAGGCTCATCATATCCTGCATCTCTTTCAGCCTTCAAGATTCAGTCCTGTATAGAGTGCATTACAGGGGTATGTTCTTCAAAGATATACTGTTCTTTTGCAAAACCCTTGGTTAGTGGTAGTCTATAGATTTTGCAAATTCGTTACTTAATTCTACCACCCACCTTCCTTGGGCTGAATAACAATGAACTGATCAGGCATCTGTACAAGTACTGTGCCAGTGTGTGCCTGCAACTACTAAATTAATCCAGATAGTAAGAAAAGAATAATGTATATTTCATTTATTAACGATATAAATCTGGGCTTGTGGAGCTGTAATGATGAAATATGGGTATGGTGAATCACCATGTAAAACACAATATTTACTCCCTGCAGGAAGTAAGTTATGGAAACTCCTATTCTGTGTAAAAGAAGATGTTTATTGAAGGTGGCTGAACCAGCAAATAGAAAACTAATAACAGCTCTTATAGTGGATAACTTTCTTTACTTACGTTATTTTGGGAACAGGCAAGTTTCTGATGAGGATGTCTCATAAGAGAAGATCCATTGGTCCATTTCCTGATTATTAAAGCTAACATAAAGCCAAGTTGTAAATAAACACATGCACTTTTATTTAATATATGTGTTTTGCAGTGTTTTCAAGGCTCTCTCTACACACTACACTTAAGGCATGATTAATCAGGTAACCACACCTCAACTTGTGACCCATCTACATGTTCAACCAGTTAATGGTGTGATAAAGAAGCAATAAGTTACAAAGTTCTTCCACAAAAAATTGAATAACTTTTTTAATTTCTCCCAGCGACAGGGTTGCACCACCTGCTGCCAGCCCCACAGCTGACAAGGCTCACAGTGGTTGCAGTGTTGTTAACTGCTGTTACAGTGGGGAGAATGCTGGCCTCCCCTGTCACAGTGGAGGCAGCATTTCCCCTGCTGCCAGCCCCAGAGCCAATGTGGGCTGTGGGGCTCAGAGTGGGGGCAGCGTGGGGAATGCTGTCAACTCTGTGAGACTTCTGAGGTGTGGGGTTTGCAGAATGGGCAGCATTCTCTCCACTGCACCCACTGCTAGCCCCACAGCTGATGAGATTCACATTAGGGGCAGTGTTCCTAGCACTGCCTCTCCTGCCAGTCAAGAGCCCATGTTGGCTCAGGGGCTTACAGTGGGTCAGTGTGGGGAATGCTGCTCCTGCTATGAGCTCCACTGAGTCCCATTAGTTCTGGGTCTCACAGCGTTGGGAACCAGTGCAGGGGGAACCCAGGATCATGATCCCAGGCTCCCCCTGCACTGGTGACAAGGTACAATGGAATCTAATGTACAATCCCACAATTATGCACATGTGGCATGGCAGGAGACATGATTGTGTGGATCGCACATCAGAGCTTATTGTGCCTCTACCTGCGCATGTAGAGAGGCCCTAAGACTACTTTGAATGCTGGTTAGGATACTGTTATAGAATTTTAGTGTACCATGAAATCTGTTTAAAATGTCAGAACTGTCCTGTAATTTTGCATTGAGAGGGTTATTTGACTAAAGTCTTTGCATAAGTCCTTGATTATACAGTAAAGAGTTTTCATGTTGATTTCTATTTCAGGAACATTTTTGAAAAAATCATTTTTATTACACAAAATTTTTTTGTCTCACTTAAACAGCTTTTATTGTGTTCCTTATCTGTAAACTATGTATACTTGATAAAAATGTAACCAGGGAATATCTTAGTGAATAATTTTTTAGGTGAAATTATCAGCAATCTCTTATAAATAAATAAATAAATAAATGTATAGATATGTATAGATAAATAAATGTCTATCTATATCTATTTATAGATAGATATATAGATAGATAGATATCTCTGTATCTCTCTATATGTGGAGAGAGATAAAGAGATACACACACACACATACACACACACACACACACACACACACCATACACAAAGTTGTACTGTTTTAAGGGAAAGCTTGTTAAACAAAATATATTTAACAAACTTTCCCTTAGAACAGTACAATTTTCTGTTAGTTTTGAACTTGATACTGCTATTTTTATCTTTCACATGAGTGAAAATGTGAAAAAAACCTAAATTAAGGAAGAAATATAGGCAAAATTCTGAGTTGATTTACATTTTTATAGATATTTCCCTGGGAAAAATATTAGTTTTAGGCCCGTTGGGTTTGGCTTCTACTATCCTATCCATCAGTGACGCTCTATAAAATTGGTGATTAAATTAAATTCACATTGGGTTTATCTTCATGTGCCATTAAGACAATGTGATAAACTCTGGTGCAGTTCGAGCAGGATTCAGCTGCTCTCAGGTATAGTGTTCAGACTTGCTCCCAGGACCCCACAGTCTGAGCCAGGTGGAGCAGTTCCAGGCTGGCAAGGGGTCTGAGGAATCAGACCCGGGCTCTGGGTCGTGGCATCAGGTGGTGGAGGGGGATGGCTGGGGCACAGGAGTGCTATAGTGCAGGGCTGGACAGCAGACATCTCCTACACTGTAGCACCCTCATGCCTCAGGCAACCCCAGTCACCATCTACACATACATTTCAGTGGAATAAATGACCCTGTCATAGGATAGTACTGTCCGGGACAGTACTATCCTATGGCAGGGTGAATTAATTTAATGCGCTCTAATTGCGGTGCACATGCAAACTGTGATGCTTTACTGTGGAACTAGTTAGTTATCTCTGTAGTAAAGTGCATGTGCAGATACACCCACTGTGAAATACATTGGCACAGAGCTACCTAAGCTAGTTTTAAACAAGCTACCATGTGCACCAGAAGCATGAAGCTTTCTGCTCCTGCAGCTAACTTGTTTCTAAGGTTACAGTTATCTCAGTTTCTGAAACAAAATTGTTTCTGTTAAATTTCAGTCTGCAATATAGGCATATCCATGGATGTTTCTGAACATTTTATTATCTACAGTTATAGGTCTTTCTATCTACTTTAATCCATTTAATCAGTAAGTCTCTTTCTCTACCTTTTGTCCTAGGCCTTTTTTCACTTTTGACTTTCTTTCATAGAACTTTGTCCACAGTGACTTAATATACTCATAACTACTCTTCCAGACTTTATAAGTTGGTTACAAGAATTAATTCCTTCAAGATATAGGAAATGCTAATCTGCACTAGATGTGATTATACCACAAGATGGATACACATGAGTACTCCTGGTGATTTATTTTGTCTTTGTTTATTTTTAAT